GGGGGGGGGGGGGGGGCGTACTCATTTGTTGCTTGCGGTAGTCATTTGACCATTGACCACGCGTCCCTTTCGAGACGGAGCACCGTTCCTACCCCTACTAGAGACACCAACATTTGGGAGCTCTTTACGTTTCTGCCACAAACTCCATAAAAAATTTTGCACATCTTATCCCCGTCCACTAGGGCCTCTTGTGCCCACCATCTATCCCCAATTATCGCGATCGTTTTGTCGCTGTTGGGAGGGGGGGGGCGAGGACGGTGTGACGGTGTGAAAGTGGTGGGGAACTGTTTGCAAGGAAATAAGGCCAACACTTTAGCATTCAACGCAACAGCAGGCGGTGCGATTGGTATCCGAAGCACATCATGACACGCATGCTGCTCCTCCGCCCTTTGAGGACCACGTAGTAGACCGATATGTACTGCTGTAGCTGCAGAACGCACACGAAACCGGCGTTCAGCAGGCAATTCACACTGCTGTGCAGCCAATGCCTTTGTGGCAAGACTTCGCCTGTGCAACCTTATTGCTGTTTGTGGCGGTGGTCGAGGAGAGGACATGTGGACAACGAATGCACCCGTCGGGGGGTTCTGGTTCTTGGTCGAGAAGCGTACGTTACATCATGCACTGCTGTGATATCATCACCTTCTTCGGGACAGCAGCGGGGCCGTATACTTCACCTGCCGCTGTTACTCCTCTATGGGTGTCAGTTACGGTAGGGCGTGGGGCATGGGGGACTGCTTTACAGGCACGCTCCGCGTGTAGCGGGGGAGGTCTGCCAGATCGGACCTTTGTCCATGTCCCGCCTCGATTATGGAAGATTTGAAATCGGCCGCGATGTGAACACAGCACCTGTATTTTGGGAGGACTGCAATGATGCCGCAATTCCAACGCCATCATGCCCACAGCAGTGCGGTGCAACGGCTGGTGTAAGCTGCCGCTGGCATTTGCAACAACGCGTGGGACGCAAGCGGAGAACACCAGGGGGAGAAAACAGCTAGCCAAATACATGGGGTCTACAAGTGCACAGCCTTCGACAGCAGCAGCAGCAGCAGGGCCGTGCATGACGCGGAACACCCACAGCAACTTTCACCGCACAACGTCACCCTCACCCTAACTGCTTCGGTGGGTGCGTGTGTAGTCTGTAGGCAAGTCAATTTCTTGAGCATGATGAGGTAAACACAGGGCCCTGCACAACACAGCGCAGAGGGGAGAGACGGCTAACACGAGCGTGCAGTATACCTGGGAGGAGCGCCCGGAGACCACCTAACATGAGCAGAACACTCACGTGGCGGGCAGCGTGTTCTGTGACATCATTAGGTTTAGAGTTCAACTCGCTACACTCCCTCTGAGCTCTCTCTATCTCTCTCGCTTTGCTCACGTTGCTGAGGTTTATCGGCGGCGTCGCTCCCCGGGGCCTTCAGCTGGTCGTCCTGCAGCTCTAGCAGGGCCAGCCTCTTCTCCTTGTACTCCGTCTTCTCCCTCATGAGCTCGTCGAGCTTCTTCTCGAGGACGTCCTTGCTCTTCCCGGCGTAGGGCGAGCCCTCCGACTTGCCCTGCAGAGCACCCAGCACCTCCCTCACCTCAGCATCCACGCGGGCGATTTCCCAGTCCACCGCAACGACAGGCAAGCCCCTCTGCAGCTGCAGCCGGGCGAGCTTCTTCTCCTTGTACCTCGCTTTGACCACCATGAGGCCGTCGAGCTCGCGTTCCAGGAAAGCCCTGCCTTCCGGCGTCGCGCTGCTGTTCCCCGCGTAGGATAGGTCCTCGCCGCCTTCCTGCAAGCACGCCAAAATCTCTCTCACATCTTTGTCCACCAGCGCGATGTCAAGATCGATCGCAGCTACCGACACCGCTACTGAAGCGGAGTCGCCGATGCCCGATTCAACTTCCTCCTGGAGGCGCCCTGTCGAGGCTGATGACGACATCGCTTCCCCTGTGCAACGGGCGGGGGGGCACCTCCAGAGGCGTGGTGCGTGTGTGTACGGTGTGGTTGTATGATGGAGTGAGAGCAGCAGAGAGATGTGCATCGATCGACGAGAGAGAGCTGCAGAAAAAAAAAAAAAGGATCTTAAAAAAAAATGAAAATACTGCAGTGCAACCTTGTGAAGCGATCATCATCATCATGAAAGCATGTATGTGTAAGTGATTGTAATGGTAAATGTGCTGCATGATGGACGGTGAACGTGTGCGTCGTGTGAGCACAGTAGTGGAGCAGGGTGGAGAATTATTCACGGACGTCACAAAAAACTTGTAAACCGACATCTTTTACTTTTATTTTTCTTAATATGACACAACGAGTCCATCTCTATCTTTTTCTGTCCTTTCTCTCGTGGATGTAGCATCGCAGAGCATGTTCCATCTCTCTCTCTCTCTAATCATGTACAACGGCGACCACAACAACGCGGTCAGCAATGTGCTGGCGCATTGTGCGCCCGGTGCGCATCCACGGTCCGTTCGAGTACCAACAGAACTGGCCCACGCTATGGCCGTCATCTACCAGCACCACCTCTGACGGGGACTCGTGAACGTCTCTCTCACTAATTTTGCACTTGCCTACGGAGGTCAGTTGGGGGTATACTGCTGTACCCCAAAATGTTCCGATTGACACTTTTGGGTATACCTCATTTTTGTCAATTTCCGGTTTTATTTTTTGGACACTACCGAGGTGATCCCTCATCTATCCCTCTTGGTGCTTGCCTTGTTTTGACTCCGTAACACACACGACAGGTGAACAGAGAAAATTAGAGAGAGCCAACCATGACCTTACCCGCGCGTGCCCGGCAATCATCTGTGTCCGACGAGGCAGCGTCAACCGCAGTCAGCCTCGCTGCCATCGACTGGGACGTAGCGCTCGTAGACAAGGACGTAAGGAGGTTGCTGGAGGTGCTCCAAGACGATGGCGCCGAGGGCAAGACCTACGCCGGTCGCAGCAACTCCACACCCCAGGGCAAGGCCTTCCTGCAGAACCAGGTGGACGGGCTCATGAGGGAGAAGGCGCAGTACAAGGAGAAGAGGATGGTCCTGATGCAGCGGCAGCAGGAGCTCCAGGGCGGCGGCGGCGGCGGCGGCCGCGGCAGCTCGGCCAGCGTCGCGAACAGCAGTAGCGAGCTTCCGAAGGCAACTCCGCCTTCGCTGCCCCAAACGCCCACCAACGACAACAGCACGCATTCTACGTCGAGACGAGGCTCCTTCCCCCTGGGCCCGAGGCCATCCCCAGGTGTGCGAGGGCTCACGCCAGACAGGAGAGCGAGTGCACATGTAGAGCTGGATTGTATGCTCAGCAGACCTAACACGTACCCCAAAGCACGCAGGTGTCTGATACAATTAGATAACAATAGACTTTTTGAGAGGTTCGGGAGTTGTGCACAGAGTACGTCACTGACTCTGGAATGGCCGTTTGTTGTACAAGACGCGATCAGTGCTTCTCAGCAGCGGGAGAGAGGGAGCAGAGCAGCGCTTCGGCTGTCATGCGCGACCATGTTGTGTGTGCGTATGCCTCGGCTTGACGATCTCGACGGTGGTTGCCTGCCTTGTGAAATCCGCACGGTTGACTTGTTTTGGCCATTACGCTGCCCACCACCCTGTGCGTCCCCTCTCATTTTCGGGTGTGGTTTTCGCGTCTGTCGGCCTCTCTCCTTCAACAACGTTGCAGGAGCGGTGAGATGATGCCTTCAACGTTCATCGGCAGACCTCGTTGCCTTTGCCTTCTGAACTCACGCAGACGGACCAGAGAGAGAGAGAGAGAGAGAGATACAGAGACGGGTAAATCGATTTGTCCCAACACTACAATTATAATACTTCCGCGAAGTAAAAAGCTTGTTCGTGACCCCACAGTATACAGCAGTCGCCTACATACACCCTACCCGAAAAACCAGTTACTGCACAGGGTCAGCGGCAACTGCAACTACAGCCGGCGGGGAGGCCAGAGGTCGAATGTTCATGTTTGACTGGCGGCACTCATAAATGCGAACAGGCCACGGTCTATCTACAGCAGCATTAGTGGGAGCATGGTTCAAACAGCATCGTAACAAAAACGCCCTTCTTCGCATTTCCAACGTTAGCTTCCCTCCCCTTGTTGTTTAATCCGCCAATCGTTTGACTAACTGGACTTGCAGCGCCGGGAAGCTTGCGGGCCCCATCGCCGGCAAAAAGTGCCACCGAAGCAGAAGGTGAGGATACTGCTGTTGCTGTACGGTGTTATTCGCGCGGCAGGGGTGGCCTGGGTGATCTTGTGTGTTGGGGGGCAATCGGCGTGTTGAGATAAGTCACTCTCTGTGTACTGGCGTATTCAGCGGCAGCTGTGTAGGTAAAGCAACACTATTAATAAGATAGTCTCACGTGCATGCGTGTCACGTGCATGCGTCACGGGTATGCATTCATGCCGTAGTGCAGCGCTATTGGAGCCTGAGAAGTGGGCGTGGGCGTTGGTTGCAATTTTGGGATGCTGCCGCGGCTCCTCAAGTCTTGATCATTTTCCAGACTTTTTCGAGCCCGTGAAGTACTGCTGTGCATACCAGTGCCAGGTGGTAGTTCTTCAGAGCGGCGGGTGATACTTCATGGATTTGGTATCTCGCCTGAATCAAGAACCGCGTTGTTGAATCTCCTGTGCCTGCTTTTCTCTCTATTGTTGTTCATACTAAATATTTTTGCTTGGTACAGCGAATATTGCATCAGGTGCAGAAGATGCGTGCATCGTTCTTTTCAACCCCTGGGGGTATCTATTGTATATTGTAGGCTAGTTGGTTCTGCGGAGGTTACTGGGAGATCTCCCACTTGGTGAGATACGAAGTGGTGTACATGACTTTTCAAGCGGCGCATGTGTCGTGCCATCGGGCGTGCGGAAATACCGCCTCCTTGCCGGGACAGACCGAGCAATTGATGGGTTTCCGCCAGCCAACTCCGTCGCTGATCGCCATTGTCTTTTGTCATACGAACCTTGAAGTGCTGACATCTACTGGTGGCGACAGTCCTTGTCCGTAGTGAGTCAAACACTACCGTACGAACGTACATTATGCTGCCAGATAGATTTCTCTTCGATCGCTGAGTCCCGATCTCCGAACCCGGACCGCACGGCGTTAAACCCGAAACTTGCGCCGCTGGCTGTGTGCCCTTGTTCTCCGTACCACGGTACGCTTTTCCCTGAGCAGACCGACGAGCGGTGGCGGAAACCACGGTTTTGTGGAAGGATACCGTGACTAGTGGAACCTACGATGCCCCCAAGAAGACGGCGGCTCTCTATGCGCCGGACGGAACTCTCTGGGGAACAGTCTCGGAGGAGGTCCGCGACACCCCCCAACAGATCTACGCCTATTTCGTGAGTTGCTTGCCCGCGGCGGCGGTGGTGGTAGTGGTGGTGGTGGAGGGCTGCAACAGAGGCTCGTGGTAGACCTTGTATGTTTCCGAGCGACTTCTTGGTGGTTGTGGTGTTGTTGATGGTGGCCAGCATCTCGTGTGGCTTGTAAGGATTAGGATTTATTCTCGATTGTGAAGGTACTGCTGACAAGGACTGAAGTATGCGTAGCAGCAACGCTAGTCGAACTCTGTTAATGAGTTTGCCCTCAATTAGGCCAGACAATCGCGTGTGTGTGTGTGTTTTAACATGGGCTACCAGCTGCTTGGAATGCGGTGGAAAAATCAATTCGAATGATCGAGTGGACATGTCATGTGGAAATCGGAAACACACAAAATACACACACACCGTAACTACCATTTGATCATAGCATCCCCTCGTGCAGCTACGAAACACAAAACACCCGCCTGCGATCAGATCAGATCAGATCATAACCTCCTCGACCCCCCCTTCACGCTTCGCAGGACTACTTCGCCCGGCTTCCCGAGCTGAGGGTGGTGGAGTACACCCCCGTTGCCGTGCGCGTGTACGGGGACTTCGCCGTACAGGCCGGCACCTACACCTTTTCCTGGCAGGCGGATGACGGTGCCATCGTGGAGAAGAGGGCCCGCTTCAGCTTCACCTTCCGGAGGGACAACCCCGGCACAGAACGCCCCTGGACTATCGTGGAGCACCACTCCTCGTCCATGCCCACGGCACCCGCGGGTCTCAAGGCGGTGAGTGTGCTTTGTCTCCTCGCCACCGAGGCTGAACGTTGTTGATGGTTGATGGTTGATGGGATGTACCGTACCGTACCGTACCGTAAGAGGAGACAGATGGCACCCCCCCCTAGAACGACTTTCAAAGCTCGATTTCTCCACAACCGAGTGGGTGCAGAAAGAGCCCGATACGTCTACGGAAAGCCCTCGACATGTTCCTAACCAGAACCACCGCTATTGGTGTTGGTGTTGGTAGCATCTGGTTGGCTTTGCAAATCGGTCTCGAGGGTGAATTCCTTCCGCCTCTTGCGGTAGGTACCTCCGAGTGCTGCGAACCATTCCCGTCCGTGCTTATTCCAAATCCATCTAATCTAGAGGAAGGACTGCCAATGCAGGCCCTCTGGCCAGCTACAAAAGAAACAGATGGGGTTTATGGAGCACAGCGCGAGATGGCGCCGCTCAATACGTAAGTGGCGGCAATAGCGAGAATCGACACTAGATGTGGGACCTTGTCGTATAATGAATTTGAAGAGGTAACCGACTAGGTGGACTCGGGGTTCGGGTTGGCGGCTCTTGTGAGATATGTTTTGATGTTTCTGCTCTTGCTCTCTTCTCTTGACAAATCAATGAATAATGAATAGGATAGCCCGGGTGTTGTGGCTTTCACGAAGGGTGATTTTTGACGTGCGGTCCTTAACACTCGACTGTATTCCATCCTCCTTTTGGCTTTACGCCATCCATCCTCCTTTTTGGCTTTATGCCATACATACATCCGTACCATCCGTGTCAACAGCAACGTATCCCGTCACCGTCTCTTTGTATGGATGCGATGCGAGGGCAATGGTCTAAGGACTACGGCATGCACGACCATGAGTACACACACACACACACACACGTCTCTCTGTCCTGTTCCCATCCCGTCAAGGTCGTCCGGTACGGTTGGTCTGGGGTCGGGTAGGACTCTCTCTCTCTCTCTCTCTCACACACACACACACGTTCTCTGCATCTCTCTCTTGAGAGTCCATACTCGTGCATCCCTTGCCGCTTCCGAACTCGTCGACCTGCTCGCTTAAAACGGTCAATTGTCATATTACCTTTTTCTTATCCTTCAGGTTGGGGTAGGCCCGGGTATCCCTCGCGGCCCTAAGGTCGTCAAGGAAACCACTCCCGGTGAGTCTTGTCTTGTCTCTCATGTTGGTAATTCTCGTAGCCCGTTCTCATTTGCGCCACAATTTGCATTGGTTTTGTTTTTCCTCATGCATTTGTTCTGGCATAACGTGCCGCCGGGCGTTTTGTTTAGCTCTACAATGTGTGCCCGCCACGCATGGTTGGTTGCCCGCGGGTACAGCAGTAGTACTTTTTCTTGTGTGCGGAGGAACGTAGGTGGAAGTCAAAAGCGTTATTCCAAAGGGCCGTGCGCAATGAGTGCCGTGCGTCCATACAATGCATGTTTTTTCATGTTGGGCTTGGTGGGACAAGTAGGGCATGATCGGTGCGGAGCAAGGGCAGGGGATTCGATATATGGTATGATAACATACGGGGTGACCTACCATGATATTTTGTTTGTTTGACACGCTCTGTCTGGGTCGCCATTTGATTTCTCACGATTCGTTGTCGTTCTTTTGCTCGAGCAGACCAAAAAGCCGTGGCCGCAACGGCGGTGGTGTGGAAGGACACGGTAACGATGGGCACAGACGACACTCCTAGGAAGACGGCGGATCTTTATGCCCAGGACGCTACTCTTTGGGGAACGGTCTCGGAGGAGGTCCGCGACACACCGGAGCAGATCTACGCCTACTTCGTGAGTTCCCGCTGCGGCTGGTGGTGATGGTGGTGTTGTACTTTTCTCTGTGTTTAGGCAGTTGATGTGCAATGGTCACGTGCCAAACATTTTTGTTGTTCTTGCTGTTGCTGTGGGTGGTGTGTGCATATCCGAGATTACCCAGGCTGTCGACCTCTTGTCGTGTTGTGTTTCCTTACGCTCTCCATAGAGTTGACTCGGCTTATCACGCGGTGCTTCGTGATTCTCAAGTCTCTGTTTTACTCGGACGCCCCGAATACCTTTTGGTCTCGTAAGCGATACTAGCCCAATGACGATATGCCCAGCTTGTTTGGTTACACTTGCAATCACGTGCAAACTTGCTGGGACCCGCATCATAGGTATCTTTTTGAACTCTCCCGAATAATTAAAATTTAGTCTTCGTGGCATACGCAAAACAACAACGTCATCATGAAACGCATGCGCTGAAACGTGAACTCCACCGCTCAAGGCCGAACCGGCACTTGTTGTTCACCCCTCTACCCAGACCCCTTGACTTGACCACCCCCCCAATCATCTCCCAAACGGGAACGCATAAAAAAGCTCCCCAACACATTCCCTTCAACTTTGGTTGTACAATATCTTAAATGGGTTTTATCTCCATGATTGTATGTTTCCCTAAATAAACGCATCTGTCGGACTACACACCGCCCCAGGACTATTTCGCGCGGCTCCCCGCGCTCCGGCTGGTCGAGTACACCCCGGTGGCGGTGCGCGTTTACGGGGACTTCGCGGTCCAGGCCGGCACCTACACCTTTTCCTGGCAGGACAACGACGGTGACACCGTCGAGAAGAGGGCCCGCTTCAGCTTCACCTTCCGGAGGGACCCCAACAAGCCCCAGCAGTGGGCGATCGTGGAGCACCACTCTTCGTCCATGCCCACGGCACCCGCAGGGCTCAAGCCGGTGAGGAGAATGACTGCAGCTGGTTGGTGGTCTGTATGCGTATTGTACCTCTACGGAGTTACTCGTGAGGATGTCACCTGATATCATCTCCCTCCCACGTTGCTGAGCACAATGAATTTGATGGTGGCACGTGCGGGTCCTCTTTGGTTGGGGCGGTGCTTCCCTGTTGAGTGAAGCATCTGGGTTGATGTCGTCTGGTCGGCTGTCTCGCGCGGACGTGTTTCCGTCTCATGACGATCATTTACTACACACGAGAGAGCGCTTGGGCGCGCCCATCGTCCATCCACACACGAAACATGGAAGAGACACAGAGTTGAGATGTGTCTTTCTTTTTCTTTCTTGACCCTGAATTTGCTGTGCTCGACCTGACGGAAAACCAGCCTGTTGGTGAGTGACGGCGTCCTTTGTTTGTAGAGGCTATTTCTCTGTCACCCCTGCAAGGTCTTGGATCTGTACGTCAACATGACAGCTTACTGTACAGGAGCACGCCTTTATATCTCTTCACGGAGCGGCTGCTACAAGTACAGTGGTAGAGGGGTTAGAGGCGTGGTTACCAAAGGAGCACTGGAAAACCATGTCGTGGAGGGGGAGAGCTGCAAATTGCAACACTTGCCCCGACGAGTTCGTGTTTCAGTGCTCCTTGATCGGCGAGATATGCAACGCTCTGGCGTAGCAGCTGATCGGTGGAGACGTGCAAAGACGTGCTTCCGTACACTAAGCAGCCATGTTGACGTAGATGGTGCAGAGGTAGGCACGGTTGATGTTGATAGCCCAAAGGCACAAGGGACTCCCGTCACTTGCTTCTGTACCTCATCGGGTCACGCACATACCAGCCCCCAGAGGCTCATACCTACCGCAGGGTACCCCAAACACGACAACCCACGGCGCTGACAAGGCGTCAAGGTGTTAGCAAGGAATGTCTTCCTCCGCTCGCTTCGCGTGGCTTGTACTTCCTACACGCTTCACGCTGCCTCATGGTTCGTGTTGCATGTCAAGAACGATTTCAACCCGAAAGGGAACCCGAACCGGAACCCAAACTGAACTACGAACCCCAATGGTCTCCTGATCCCCCGAACGCGGACGTGGCCGTTTTTTCTCCCAGGCTATGTCGGGCACGAACCTCGCGGACCTGACCCACGACACGGGCAAGGCGACGGCGACAACCGCTCCCTCGTCTTCCGCCACGCACTCCGCCGCCTCTGCCCGCAATGAAGATGTGAGCCAGCTTCGCAGATGCGGAAACACTGGGATTTCACGAAGAGAAACTTGGCTCTTGTGTACACGGCTCTTTTTGTCGCGCGCTGTATGGATAGTGTTTTGTTGTCCCGTTCCCGAAGGAAGTCGACGGATCTTCTTTGGCACCGGGCGGTGTTGCTGTGTTCGCTCACGTTTTATGGTTATTTCGCTTTTATTGCCGACTGTTTTGTCGAGTTGTCCGCAATGTGACGACGTTAAGGGCGCGGGAGGGATCGCAGTACTTCCTCTTAAAAAAACAGGAAACGCCTGGAAACGCCTGCATATCTCGGTTTTCCAAAGTCTAACTCCAGTACGAAACTACCATCGTAAGTTAACCGCCCGCAGCGGTCGCTTGTGTACAATGTTAGTAGCTGAGGTTGTACCCCTTGCGATACACTACAGACTAGCGGTCCGCGATTTTCCAAACGATCCTTCTATCATCGAGTTCGGTGAGCTACAAGCTAGATTTCTGAAGCTGCTGTGCGGTCCAATTTTGAAACGCTTCAAGCACACGGTGAACACGAATCACCGCCTATGTGAGTGTATGCGGCCGCGAACTTCAGCGCAGCTCTTACCTCACATATCCAGCTGGTCGCCATTGTCGATTTGAATGCCTAGGGTCATGTATATGCATGTCCAGCCTTTAGGCAAAGGTGCTTGAAGCGTTTCAAAATTGGACCGCACAGCAGCTTCAGAAATCTAGCTTGTAGCTCACCGAACTCGATGATAGAAGGATCGTTTGGAAAATCGCGGACCGCTAGTCTGTAGTGTATCTCAAGGGGTACAACCTCAGCTACTAACATTGTACACAAGCGACCGCTGCGGGCGGTTAATTTACGATGGTAGTTTCGTACTGGAGTTAGAATTTGGAAAACCGAGATATGCAGGCGTTTCCTGGAATTTTCAGAGGAGGTACTGCGATCCCCCCCGCGCCCTTAAGTCGGTGCTACATTCAGTGTGTGAAGCGAGAGGAGTGCGCATTTTTTTTGTGGGTACATGGTTTGCGTTGAACATTGCATGGAGGAAGAGGGTTTATTGAAGGCCATGACATTCTTCTATCGATAGGGCCTTACGTGCGACAAGAATTATATTTGCTAGAGAAGCATTGAACCGCCATCTGCCGGAGTTGTTGTTGTTGTTTCACGGTAACGAGGCGTCCAATGATTCAATAATTCTGTTCCACGCCAGCGAGGTGTACTTGTAAGTGTCATCAACGGGTGATGATGAAGATGGAGCATTACGGTTGAGTTGAGCGGCATGAAATAACAATGCTGCTATAATAAGAGCGGTACGTATCCGCGTTTGGCGTCGATGAGACGCAAGAACCGCGAATGTATTCATCCGCCACGACCGCGCGTCTAATTTCTCGCCCCCGCTCGCTACAGGCCGCCCCGACCGAAGCCGGAGGAGCGGGAGCAGCAGCAGCGGCGACAGGCAGCGCAGCCGCCACCACCACCACCACCACCACCACCACCACCACCACCGCAGCGGCGGCGGCAGCAGCAGCAGCAGGGGTAGACTACATGCGATTTCCGGTTACGGAGGAAGGGGAGGGCGAGGAGGGTGCGTCGGCCACGGCTCCCTCGGAATCGATCTTCAAGATGCTGCCGCGTACCGCGTGCACGGCGGCTTGCGGGGCCGCCGTTGCCGCCGCGATCGTTGGGTTTGTCGCGGCCGTGCTCATGGCACCTGCTCTGTCGTCCACGGACCTTGAGGCGGCGCCTATCGGGAAGGTCGCCGTCGTTAACGTTGCCGCGGCTGTCGCCGCCGCCGTCGCGACCGGGCTCGCCCCCGTCGGCGGTGCTCTCAGCCGAATGTAACCGATGTTTATCGTCGTTTTCATCGTGGGGGAAGTTGAGTCGTGTGGAGGGTGGATGATGCTTTCTGGTTGTAGACAGAGGGTCGTGGTTGTGCTTCACCGATGATGAAACGCTTTGGTCCCTTAGAGATAGCGGTAGAGAGGTAGCAAGCAACCACTTCTCCGCCCTGGTTCGGTTTCACCAAGACACGGTAGCCAAACCCATCACGCACGCTGGCCTGAGTTATTTTTTATGAGCCCGATTGGGGACAAGCACGGGCGTAGACACGCGCCTCGTTGGGGTAGTTTCAGTGCCGGCCGGAAGCTCGGACCCAAGCTGGGCACGGCAAGCGGTTTCTCGTAGGGCGACTTTGTGCCGTATGTTGTAGAGATGCTGGACGAGGGATGCATCTCTACCATACTAAGAATACTCTTGAGTTTTCAGAAAAAAGAGAAAAGAAGGGCCGCCGTGGCTTTTCATTCGTCACCAACTAGTGCGGGGCGCTCAGGAACAGATTTGAGAATCTATCTCCAGTAACTTTGTCTAGGAATACCGTAGGTGCGTGCGGGCTTCCGATTGTTTTATGCCGTTGGTAGACATGAGAGAACTTCCGTGTGTGTTTTCATTTCATTCTAGATGTCGTAAAACAAGCTTTGACTTGAAGCAGTTTTGAAGGTGGCGCGGCAGATAGATTCTGTTTCTGTCTTCTTTTTTTCCAGCCGCTAGCCACGCCGAGCCTACTGTTCCTTTTCACCTTGTCTTAGTCGTAGCAGTACTTGTGGGAGCCCTTGGATGGATGGATGCTGGGCACCCCTCATCGGCCAGTCAGTAGTGAGAGAATTCTCTATTCGAATCGTCTGTAAGTATGTGGCCTGGCCACGGGGTTCGGGTTCGAGAGGGGGTTATGTAGGGGATGATTGTACACTTGACGGGAGGAAGAGTTTGCGGGAAAATTGGGCAGACGGCAGGGCGAGGCAGCTTTTCATGTCATCGGCAATGGAATACAGCACAGGCCTCGGTAAGTGCGTCCCTCAGGTTGCTGTTGGTGGCGTTGCCACGTTGAAAGTTGAAGACTTTTTAACTATCCGGAGGGATGATTGGTGGGGGCTGGTCGGGGCTACACGCTGCATTGCCAACCAACCCTTGACGATGGAAAGGATTGGCGCGAGATGACGGGCGCAGAATTCGAAAGCGTGCTTGATGAGTACACAAATGTGTGTGTTTTGATTTGATGGCACCCGACCACAGCTGTCCTATGTTTTTGTTTTGTTTTCTTGGCAGACATGCCTTGGTGTCATGTGTTACGATTTTGTACGCGTGATCAGGGGGGGGTGGAGGGGGAGCGAAAACGGCGGAGACGAATTACTGAATGTATTGCGAAAGTGTAGTGCCAAAGATATTGCCAAAGGTAACAACGTGCCTCATGTTTTGGTCTCTTTGTCGTGGTTGGCTACGGCCACAGCGGCGGCCACAGCAAATGAAGGCCCAGTCCTTTCTTCGGCAGTCAATACGAACAGAGGTACAATAGACACCTACCGAACGGGGCAGAAACCGCGCTGAGAACCTCCCCCCCAAAAAAAAACGAAACGAAAAAATATCAAGTTGGGAAAGAAAGTTTTCCCCGCCCGTTCTCCCCGGCGCTCGTTACCGCGGTGACTTATTAGTGTGATATTGTTCGGTTCGGTTGTGTAGGTGCTGTGGATCAGTGCTGTCGGCACATCGTAAAGCGATGGATTGGGAGAACCGAAAGACACCGAGGGTTCGCTGTCGGTTCAAATTGTTGTGCGAATGTGCAGAAATTGGCCTTTGCCACCAGCGTTTGGTCCATCAGTACGTAGTACCTTACGTGCGGAGTCCCGAAAGCTGAAATTTGCCACGTATCGTAAGGTTGCGAGTCAGCGCACAGGGGTGCGAACGTATTTTCAAAGCGTAATATCTCCACAACCAGGAGGGTGCCAGCGCCAACTGATACTTCTCAGGAAAACCCTCGATGAGATATTTCCACAACCGCCCTTTTCAACAGTGGTTTATCTCCTGGTTGTGGAGAAATTACGCTTGAAAATCGATCGCACCCCCTGTGCGCTGACTCGCAACCTTACGCTAAATAGTCCACGCTATCTAGGCCGTGAGCGCTGCATTCGTCAGAACCTAGCGAATCCCATACTACCGTGGCAGCCCCCGCAGCACGAGTGGAAAGGGCCTGCCTCCCATCCCCTGTACAACGAGTAAGTAGACTACAAGTACAGTTCGGCGGGCTTGAGCTGGAGAAGGCACAGCAGGTCAGGGTAAACAGACTCGCCCTCCTGCACCACGGTAACATAAGGGAAACTCAATCACGTTTCCCTGCCTTGTGGGTTTGTGGGGTGTGAAGGCCTCGAGGTATGGAAATACGTGTTTATGCATCTTTTCGACTGCTGACAGACTCTCCAGGCTCCAAATTCCGAAAGACGACTCAGTGCTCACTGCTGCTGTTGGAGGTGTATGTACAGTACAGCACAGCAGTGTAGTCAGCAGCAGACGGTTTTGTCCTCCCTCTTGTATTTCGCATGCCGTGCTCCCCGAAAGGACGCGTCTGCGGCATCAAGCGGATCACTTGAGTAAGAAAACAGTGAGAGGTGGATAAAGCAGGTGTTGGCTCCCGTGCGCGGGCACAGCAGTGACACATTAGCAGCAGCAGTGGACAAACCGCCGTGCGGCTGATCCTTGATCCGTGGTGCTGATGCCATGTCTTCTTTCGTCTGTGAGTCCGAACCGACAAAGAGTTCTCTCGCGAACCTTTCATATTACTTTGTTCATACAATTTTATTATTCCTTATTTTTTGTGACTGCTCCGATGACGGGTGCAGACTCATCAGCCTCATCTCAGACGGCGGAACGATCACAGCGACAGATCATCTGTTTGTTACGCGCACGTCATTAAAAAAAACAAGGCAGCTATGGAGCGCGGCAGGATGGATACGACCACGCTCGACCGCGTGAGCAGGCTGGCGTCTAACGTGGGCGACGCCGCTTCAATTTCCGTGAGCCTTGGACAAATCGACTGGGACATCAAGCTGGTCGACCAAGGTACGCCCTATTTTTGTAACACATCATCATACGAGTGCATGCGTCCCATGATCTTGCGCTGTCACCCCGTGGTTGCATATCAGTCACCGAGGACAGCACCCGCGTACAGGAGTAGAAGACAGAGCTGTAGCTTCTGGGCCAGGCGTGATCGATACATATCGACCCTCCCCCGCTGCCTTTCTTTTCTTTCCACCGGACCAGACGTACGCAAGCTGCTCGCCGCGGTGCAAGGGACTTCCAAGCAGACGTATGCAGGCACCAGCAACGAGACGGAGCAGGGGAGGGCCTTCCTCCAGAAGCAGCTCGACGGGCTCATGAAGGAGAAGGCGCAGTACAAGGAGAAGAGGCTGGCCCTCCTGCAGCTCCAAGACGAGCTCCCTGGGATCCCGGAAGACGGTGAATACTCAGGTTCGTCACACTCTGTGCTATTTTTTTTTTAAATCTGTGCATACGCATGCGAGGAGCTGTTTTATTGCCCGCTCCTTTGTGATGTTCCTCGAAAGGCTGCCTGGAGAGCTTTCAGGATTCGAACCGTCCGGACCCATTGGCGCGTGGCTTTTTTGTGTCCGCTGTCCCGGCATTGTTTGCGAGAGGGCTTGGCCCTAGGTGGGGTTGGTGCGATGAGGGGGTCTGGCTGGTGCGGTGGCGTGTGCCGTGGACTCATGTACATATATCTATGGGTACCAGATGCACGTTGTACACACCTTGCTTGTTTTTTTCGGATACACACGATCTTCAACACCAGCAGTACGTACTGCGCTGTACAATGTATGATAGTTCCGCACAGGACGCTTTATGGCGGTCAGAAGCCTTCGTGCAGGCATTGCGTCTATTCTACCGTTTCTCACGTGAAAAGAACATGGACGAAGACGTGCAATCAACCCCAACTGCGCGTGCCACTCTCCTCACACCTTTCCCCATCCTCCCTGATCTCCTCCGAACCTAATCTACAGCGCCTGCTGGCAAGTCCCCTGGGGTAGCGACGACGGAGGCAGAAGGTGAGTGACGTTGCGTCCCGAGTCAATGGTATGTGTTTGGAGGGGGCTATCATGACTGCGGGTCTCCTCAAACGTGGTGGTTTAGTTGACAACCTCTGAAATCTTGTAGCGATGGCGTGAGGGCTCGAAACTCGGGGAAGCACTCACGTGTTTTCGCTATTCGTCTGTTATAGCAAGATCATGTAGGCATAGCAGTGGATTTCGCTTACTGGTACACGCGAAAGCATACCAGAGAACAACCAGCCGCATCCCTCGCGCGTTGAACTAAAGCCGCCCGCTCGAGAGGAATTGTTGGGTGTTTCCACCGATCGGGGCCCTTCGGTAAGAGGGGCCTATTACCTGACCTTTAAGGGTGCGCTCGAAAAATGCCCATTATACCACGAAAAATGAGAAAATATTGTGCTTCTTGTAGGCATCCGTCGTTCGGGCGTTTGCCGTGCCTCTTGACGCGAGATTCAGTAGGTACTCTCGGCTCCAGTATCACCTGCTGAAGATTCGCAGATGCGATGGGATAGCCAGCTGCGGTGTGTGTTTTACTGCCTTGTATACTACGGGGTGCCTACCTACATATCATACATGCGGGGGAACGGTATCCGATTGATTCGGACTCCTCCGTGACTTCTCGGTAAAACGCAGCTTCCCCCAGTTTTCGCGATTTCCGTTTGGTGTCCGAGCCCCACTTGTTTGTTCTCCTTGGCGGGAGAGGAGGGTGCGCGAGTGTTTGTCGTGCAAGCTGATCCCGTATGTATATCACAATCAAAATACGATACCACACCCGGACCGATTGGCATGCGTATTATTATTTGATGTCAACTTACCTGTTCAAAATGGATATCCAAATCCTGGAACTCGAAAGATATACGGTCACAGCAGTATTTGAGGTATATTTATATAATCTCCTACTATTAGACTAATAGTACTTGATCTGAGATAATCTTTACGTTTCGGGCTCATGCCGACCTGAGAAAAAGATATCACCGGGTGGTATCGTGTGTCGGGTGGGGTTGTTTCTTTTGTCGCCGAGAATATCCCCAATGGCTCCCACACCAGCGACAACAGCAGTAAGAACGACGAGAGCTCGGCGAGCAGTGACAACTCAGACAGCAAACGAGACCATTCCCGAGAAGAGTGCCCAAGACTCGGACAGTACCAACGGAGGCCGTCCTTAAGCCTTGGGCGTTGTTCTCCGCGAAGATCTCACCCGTCTCAAAGTTGTCATTACCGGTCGAGGTCTCGTCGCTCTTCATGCCGTTTCTGCTGTGGGAGCCATGCGTAATTTTCTCGGCCGACAGCAAAAGCAACACACGTGTCGAAGGAGATTTGGGGTGTTTTTTTCCTTCCCTGTTGCCGACAATTTGCGCCGAAGGGTCGAAGAGGATGTAGCGATGCCAAGTGCGACGAAAGTGCCACGGGTCAGTATGCCAACTCAGAGGAGGCTGAGAGCATTGCCGACAAGAACGTCCAAGGATCGGACAGTAGCGACGGAGGCCACGGCCCCGATTCTTGGGTGTTTTTTCTCGACAATGGTCTCCTGCTTCTTTGGACTGTCATTCACTGGTGGCAATTTTGTCACTCTTTTCATCATTTCTGCTTGAGGACCCTTCGCGCAAGTTTCTCGGCGGTGATGATCTGACCGTGGGCGTGTATGGGCGAGGCAAGGGATGAACGTTAACCTCCCTGTCGCGATTGTGATCTGACCGTAGGCTTGTAGAGAAAAAATTGGACGTTCCCTATAGCCCTAACCCTGTCGCGGTGGCGGAGAGTCATGTACCCAAAGGTCGAAGAGTATAGCGATGTCAAGAGTGGCTAGAGCTCGGCGAGACATGACAGCCCGGAGACGGGCGCGACCATTTCCAAGAACAATGCCCAAGGCTCGGACAGCACGAACGGGGGCAATTTTAATTTCCAGCCTTTGGGCGTTATTTATCCGTAACTATCTCACCCATCTCAACGCCGTAATGTGTGTGCCTAGCGCTCCCCACTCTTTTGGCGCCGTTGGCGCTGTTGGACCCTTCGAGTAATGTTCCTCCGCGGCAACAAGAGCAACATACAACACTTTTGCCTCCTCGATACCTAAAGCTAGTTCATCATCGCCGCAACTGCCATGCCACGACTTGGCGATCCAATCGATCCGATGAGTTTGTTACCGCAAGGGTTCTCCTGGACTTGCACAAGTGAGCCTCTGTCCATCGGAGACGACGAGATTTCCATAGCCCCCCGTCCTTCCCAGCCTCGGAATAACGTTCTCCGGACCGTTCTGGGTCTTGTTGCTCTATGCAGGCGTTTTTTCTTGTTGGACACAACGGAATACCGTATACACAACGGAATCCCCGTAGGTTTAAAAACGTTCTGAATACCCGAGGTAGGCGATTTGATCCGTTTCATGTGTTGCTGGCCGGCCTTTCCTCGCGAATACGAGACGCGACGCCTACGGAAGAAGTGTTTTTGCGTCGTTGTTTTGTTCTTTCAGATCATAGCACGGCGTTCGAAAGGAAAAGCGCCGGGGGCATACTTCTTTTTTTTTTCTCTCTACGTTGGCTTTCATGTCGAACAGACCCGCAGTCCGAGGGTCATATTTTTCGTGTCCCTCCTCTCAAAACCGCCTCGTTCTCTGCGAAACCCTATCAATTGTGTGCATATGCATGTAAGACACATCCCGTTCGCCGAAACTCCCGGCGATGTATCAACGAACCCAGAAGCATGATTGACAGCGAATCCAAGTCTTGTTCCGTTTTTTTTTTTGTGCCTTCGCCGTGGGCAGACCAAAAGGCGGTCGCGGACACAACCCTTGTGTGGAAAGAGACTGTGACCAGCGGCACCTACGATGCCCCCAAGAAGACGGCGGCTCTCTACGCCGAGGATGGCGTTCTTTGGGGAACGGTCTCGGAGGAGGTCCGCGACACGCCGGAGCAGATCTACGCCTACTTCGTGAGTGTTGCCGCCGCTTCTGCTAAATAGCGTGGGTGGTGTTGTTGTTGCTCAACGTGTTGGTGGCAAATATACAAAGAGTCGACACGTGTCGAACATGCTGTTGCCGCGACTGCCGTTATAACTATAATAGTTTTTATTTTCAAGATTTTCCTGCGACCTATGCATACGGTGCACCAAGCTCTCCCCTTGCAAGCGAAAAATCCGGCAAACGGATATCATGCCAAGGTTGACTCACGACGCCCCCCCTCTCATTCCCCGCTCGCGTGATTTCTTCTGTATTGTAATCAACACAGGACTACTTCGCCCGGCTTCCCGAGCTGAGGGTGGTGGAGTACACCCCCGTTGCCGTGCGCGTGTACGGGGACTTCGCGATCCAGGCCGGCACCTACACCTTCGCTTTCCAGGGAGCGGACGGAGCTACCGTGGAGAAGAGGGCCCGCTTCAGCTTCACCTTCCGGAGGGACAGGCCCGGCAGCCCGCAGCCCTGGACCATTGTGGAGCACCACTCCTCCTCCATGCCCACGGCACCTGCGGGGCTCAAGCGGGTAAGAGAAACTGTACTCTATGAGGCTCTTTTCTGCCTGTGGTTGTTGGTTGTGTGTTTTTCTCGATGCTGTTGGGATGTAAACCCTGTGTTGGGTGTATCCCTGGCAAGAACAATGTTCAGAGGCTCACAAAGTGACTGTAATGAACACTTATGGTGTGTTGTAGACCAGAAAGATGGTTTGAATTGGCGCTTTCTTGGCAGAAAGGTAGGGAAGAGAAAGGAGTGAGCTGTGTAGTAAAACGAGCACTACGGGGACGAGCCATCCATCCTTAATCCTCATCACGGAAAGAGATTACAGACGGGCTATTATGCATATTGCGACGTACCAATCATGGTAGTAGACGGTTAATCCGACCCATAGCAAAATTCCTAGAATATGAGTATCCTTTAGGACAATGGTCGGAGGTGCCACACTTGCCGATTCAATACAAAATGTAACCTATAGGCGTGAACAACGATCCGATAGTCTAAACCGAAGACTATTCCGGTACGACTCCTTTTGGTGGTTACCTACGTTGGTGTTTACAGCAGTACAAAACACTTTTGTCTGACATTGAATATTCCAACAGATGCGTTGTGTTGTGTTGGAGGCTCGTTGCCATCCTACTTTCTCCTTACCCTCTCCAAATTGTTATCCCTGTCTCTACCCAACCGACCCTCATGACACATTGATTGGATACGGTCGGACCTAACACGAAGAGACTGCTCCAGCACTGAACAACCGTATGAATACACCGTAGAATTCCATGTTGTGCACCGCCTGCCTTTCTTCTGTGTGTAGCCTCTTACCATGCAACTGTGCGTTACCCATGTATCGATGTACCGATCGCCCTTGACGGGTGAGTCGTGGAAAAAAAAACACCCCACCTGTCTATCCCTGCAGGAAACCAGCAAGAGTAGCGATGTATCCGGCTCGGCTGACGAAACGGTGCGTGTCTCTTGTGTTTCGATTGCCCGCGTTTTGACGATGCCAACCCCTTGTCCCCTGCCGACAAAACGCCGATATGGTTCTCCAGGTTGGACCCAACGCTGACCTCGTCAAGGTCACCCCTAAGAAGGTCGAGATCACCCCTGGTGAGTGAGGCCGTTCTTTGACCTTTCGATCTGTGTCAACCATGCACGGGGTTTACGGTACCGGTTACCGGTTTTCCGGGGTCCTTTCTTTGGTTCCGTTTGGCGATGCTTGCGACGAAACGGACCGACAGGCAAGTATTTTGTTTGTGTCGTTTTGCGGGTTGCAGCCGTGCCTGCTCCAGCGAAACCAAGCAAAGTTAAGGTTTAGGTGAACCTTAGGGTTAGCTAGTCCCACACGCGAGTTCGATGGTTGCGTCCCGACACCACCCCCCCTCGGCCCGGTTCTGATCACGAGAACCCCGAACGTACAGTACACGGGCCTTTTTGCAATTTGTTTCCTCAGGCAAATCACTGTGTGGATAGAAAACCACCGACAAAAGAAAAAAAATGGTTACACTCTTGGGGTAAAAAAAAAAACTGAAGGAACCGAACCAAACGGAGCGGTAGAGAGAAGCGAATCTTGACGTACCCAACTCAACCTTTGTTTGTCTTCTTCTATTTTTCTTCTTTTTTTTTGCTGCACGCAGACCAGAAGGCGGTGGCGGCAACCACGATCGTGTGGAAGGACACGGTGACTCTCGGAACCGACGACGCTCCGAAGAAAACGGCGGCTCTCTACGCCGCGGACGCGGTTCTTTGGGGAACGGTCTCGGAGGAGGTCCGCGAAACGCCCGAGCAGATCTACGACTACTTCGTGAGTAAACTGACCAGGTTCCTTTGTTTGTGTTGATTCTCAGATCTACATATCATAGGTTCGTGTTTGTTTTTTGGAACTACGTTTTGGAAGGCTTGAAACCGGCAAACGAGCTGACAACTGGCGCCGAATGCTCCGTGTAGTGGTAGTTCTGGGTTAGCGAGCCTGCCTGCAATTCTAGCGGAGAGAATGATAGTCAGAAAACGTGCCTTGGAACATGCAGAATCTCATCGAGCCGCCTTCGTGAGAAATGAAGTTTCTCGAGGAAATATAACAAGTAGGGGGTACGCAGACCCCATCCCTAACCCAAACCTAACTTTCCCGATCTCATGCATTATCCAACATGTCACCTTAAATCGAAATACCCTGCTAAGGCTGGTGTAGTGATGTCGTCATCGAGTGAGAACCCCCCCCCCAAAAAACTTGACCCTGGTCCAAGTGGGGCGTATCCCACGGCTCACGAACCCTGCCTACTGCACCGCTGCTCGCGCCGACTCCGACGCACATATACGACGGGCGTCACACGATGAATGGACATGGACGACCAGGACTTCTTCGCCCGTCTCCCGAAGCTGAGGCTGGTGGAGTACACCCCGGCCCCTGTGCGCGTCTACGGCCAGTTCGCCGTGGAGGCCGGCACCTACACGTTCGCCTGGCAGGGGGACGACGGAAAGACCGTCGAGAAGAGGGCCCGCTTCAGCTTCACCTTCCGGAGGGACAAGCCCGGCAGCCCCCAGCCGTGGACGATAGTCGAGCACCATTCCTCCTCCATGCCCATCGCGCCGGCAGAGCTCAAACCGGTGGGTGTTGCAGGAGGCGCGTGGCGTCAGGCATTTGGCGGGTTGAAGGCGGGTTTTGTCCCGTACGTACCTTATCATAGTTTCATGGGCATGGGCATATCGATTATTTTGTGTTCTTGGAACTGGTGGTGCGTTGAAATTCCAGGATTTTTCTCGGGACTTCCGTTGGGCAACTGAATTCGGCAGGTTCAGCAAGCCGTCGTGTTTGTTCCGGACATTGTTTCAAACCTTGACCTTGCATCCTGACCACGTTGTTGCATTCAAGAGATGTTTCGTGATCCCCCCCCGCGCCGCCGGGAACACCGACACAATCGCAAATCGCATCCAGGTGGAGCCGGAGGTAGACATGGACACCATTGTCCAGGCTGTGTCCGAGGTCTCGGTGGCGGACAAGCCCCCCCCGCCCGCCGCGGCTGCGTCCTCCAGCGTGAGTGCAAACATTAATCTTGGACCATTCTGTACAGAGCCAGCCCACCGCTTTCAGTGGCGAAGTTAGATAGGGATATGCATACATAGAATAGAACGCCGCTGCTGACCTTGCCCTCACACGTTCGAAGACACGAACGAAGCAGCAGTCAACCCATCTCATCCCAAAACGTGTGCATGACGGAAAAATGCGTCTGCCTTTTCCCCTCAGCCCGCTCAAGACATGCATGCCAACTTCTTGCCATGGAATGTCATGTAATGTTGTAATGCAATGTAATGTACTGTAATGCTGGTGTGTAGGCGAAAAACCCTCACGTGTTTTTTTTTTTTTTTCGGTCGAGGCAGGGCAAGGGAACGTCGTTCTTCCGATCCTTGTTCGGCGGCGGGGGTGGTGAAGCGAGTGGTGACAGCGCCAAGCCCAGCGAAGGCCAGGTGTGAATGAATACATTTTGTTGGTCGTGTATTAAAACCCTTAATATTACGTAAATAACCGCACCAGTTACGACCTTTACGTTAGCCGTAACTCCGTGGTGTATTACGTATTATGTGGCCATTGCTTGCCAGTGTTCCGTGTCTACATACAATTGTAGTCGTCTCTGCTGGCACCCAAGTCTCTCTCTCTTCGATGCATGTTTCCGGCTCCTTGTTCATGAGAACCATCGGAGTTGGAGTTGGCCATTGTGTCTGTCTCATGAACATCAATATCAATATCAATATCAACATCAACATCAATATCAATATCAATATCAATAACATCACGATGTGATCAATATCACTACCAATATCATCAACGTGAGAGAGATCTAGGCCGACTCCACTTCAATCCTCATGAGAACGGAGCCATAGACATGCATCGAAGAGAGTCTGCGCCACAGCGGAGACGACTACACTTGGCAGGGACCACGCAATACACGGTGGATTCGGTCTTCGTGTCTCGATTTAGCGATGAGACACCGATCGCAATCGGTCAACCTGCCCGTTTGAAGGTAGATGTACATCTCGCCGAGACCCTTCCTCGTTCAGGCAGGGTAGATGGACAGCACCTTGTGTCCTCCCCGCTATCTTTCGCTTTGATCCTTACAGCATCACCCTCACGGTGGCTGACGGTTAGGCTCTTCGTCAGAAGGACAAAGACCTTGAGTTGGCGAGCCAGAGAGTCACCCCCCAGATATTTGCATTAGCATAGCATAGCATAGCATAGCATAGCATAGCATCTGTGCCAATGATAGCAGGCAGGTGTCGGTGAGTTGCTGTCATGGCCTCGATGCAAGAGCGAGGTGTGACAAAGGCCCTCGATCCTCTTATGTCGGAACCACGACCTCTGTATGTACGTCTATACAGTACAGTACCCCCGCCAGAATAAGGAGGGAGTCCCACGGCGAGATACACTTGGTTCACTGTATGGCCGATAGCCATCACTTTTTTTTAGTGATATTTTGTCTTCACTTCAAATCAGCGCTCACAGCATTGCTGAAGGCTATAATGGGGCATCGGGGTAGAGTCGGCCTTAGCCCTAGTTGGGGCGGTGTGACGGCGATCGTAGTCATCCTCGCTGGTGCATGACATGATTGGCATCCCGCCGAGTGTCTGGTCCCTTTCGGCAGGGCAAGGGTAATCCACGCTTTGTGGTTTTGCGCTGGCGGAACGAGCCAGAGGCCTCTCTTGGCGAGATCAACTTCGCTCACCACGCGACAGATTGCGATGGCCATCACACCGTCAACGCGAGAGCGATTGAGGTCGACTCCGCTCCGATGCCCCTCCTCACGAAGAAGAATGAACCGAGGGCGTTCCGACGATGGCCTGCCAGCACGAACAGCAACAAAATAGAAAATACTACCACCCCCCATGCCATCGCCAAATAGCGCAATTGAACCAAAACGCGGTGCCCCCCGAGATGTGCGGAGTTTCGGCAAGTTCAATATTGAATTGAGAGGCGTACGTTGATCAGGGTCACGCGGAACGCGTTTCTCACCCTCCACGCCCCAAGCCACAAACGACAACGACAACGACAACGACAAGTCTTGGGTGTGTACAAGTACAGCATCGCCTTGGGGTATTTTTCCGTTACGTGATGACTTCACCCCGAGGAATAGCTCAAGATTAATTTCGCCCCCCGCTCACCATCTTGAGTGATTTGCAGAGGGGGGTAGGGCACCCCAAAGGACTTGGTCCGTGCAGCTTGGGGGGATTCCCCAGTGTACGGTAGCAATGCAGGTACCTCGACAGCAGTGCTCGGACGGCGATGTTCGGTAACGCTTGCCGGGTTCGAACCCGAATAGTGTATAGTGGGGACATGAACAGACCAACAGCAGCAACAGCAGAAACATGTCGTGCTCTGTGCTATTCACCTAATGGCTGCACCCATGACCTACGATAATAGTTGCAGCCATGATGCATTGGAGCCCGTTTTTTCCGCGCTTAAGACTTAAACGTTGTGACTCAATCCCCGTCTCACACGCCGACGTTGTGTTATCGCGATCGCTCTCTTCTTTACCTCCTAGAACTGTAGTTTGCTTCTATTGCCGATGCTGTTTCACCCTTGCCTTTTTACTCATGTGATGGCTTTCCTTGTTTGCTGTGTTTGCCCCTGGATGCACGCACTCCAGACCTTCAAGCCTGACACACACGCCGTGGACGTGACCGTATCTCTCGGACAACACGGTCTTGGCCTCGTCCTCGGCAAGGAAGAGGCGGGAAGCCGCTGGGCTGTGAAGGGGTTCCGCGACATGCCCGACGGACAACCCAACCCTGCGTCGGTGAGTTTTTTTCTTTGCTTCTGCGAAAATGCTGGATGGGAGGATATTGCCTGGAGCTTTGACCACCTCATTTAAATGGCTGAGGTTTGGGTGAGTGGACATGTCGACACGAGTGTTGAATCATGACACCGGCGTGATGTCCCATGAGGGGGGTTGGGCTGTCAAAGA